TGGGCAAGTTTCTGTTTGGTTTGGATCTTTTCAAGATGGGATTTTGTTTCAGGCCAAGATGTGGGCACTGCCTTCCCTCTCACTCTCACGGCTCAGGGCTGACGCCTTCTTCCTGGGAAGTTCTCTGAGACCGTACAGGAGAGGCCTGGGGAGGGCCGTGGGGAGGGCATTTGGCGTGTCACCCACCATCTGGCCCACTCCTCGGGCCCACCCTGACCCGGAAGCCAGATCACATAGGTCCCGAGGCCGTTCTGTGTATCGCTGAGCAGGCACCTCCCTCTCGGCTTCACTTGCACTAGATGGGCCAAGGGCTCCAAAGTGGGTCGGTGGCTGGTTGCAGTCTCCTCTTGGGCAGCCGAGGGATAGAGTAGTTCCATCCTGACACTGTCCTCGAACCCTGGAAGGGATATGTATACCCTAGGCCCTCACCCCACCTCAGGTTGCATGGGGTGCTGAGCCACCCAACCCCGAGGGCCCACAGGCCAGCCCACTCCCCTAACCGCCAGCAGATTGCGTGGTCTGGCAGTGGTCGCACTCCAGCAGCTCTGCCTCCAGGAGAATTGTGGCCCCACTGCAGTAGCCTGACTGCAGGCTCTGAGCTGCATCAGATGCCCAGCTCACACTGGCGCTGTTCTCCGAACTCCTGCAGCGGGTGGGGGCAGGGTTGAGCCTTTCTCCAGGCAGCCTTGTCTTGGTCTGAATCTCAGCCTTCTGCCTGGGCCCTTCTCCCAGAAAAGGGAGCCTCATTCCCAGCAGGGTGCCCCCCCCCCCCTTCTCCCAGGCACTGCAAACTTCACACAGCAGCAGGCCTCACAGCCATCTCCAGCCAGCACTGGCCCCCATGTACCTGTGGGCCTCAAAGGGGCCTCTCTTGCTTTGCCCAGACCTGCCTCCTCTCCTGTGTTCTCAGGGAGCCCCGTGCCTCAGGTTCTCCTTTCATGTTGGGGTCCCTCTGAAGCCCCCTCAGAGGTCCCCCAGCCCCTGGTCCGTCCCTGTCTGCCAGCAGCATCAGGTGGGGAGAGGTGTGAATAAAGGCAGTGTGGAAGCCAAGCCTGGCTGGGGCTGCTTCTTTGTGAATTGGGGAAGCAGGAGGGAGGGAGGTCCTAGAGCAAAGGAGAGAGTGGCTGGTCTGGGGCCCAGGCACGAGCACTGGGCAGACCCCAAGGGCCCACTCAGCCCCATCTGGCCAGGAGCAGGTGCTGCCACTGGCCCTCAGTGCCACTTTGTAGGATCCCTGGGTTGGGGAGAGGTGACGGTGAGAAGGGCCTAGGTCAGTCCCAGCCCTCTTCACAGGAGAATGGGGGTTCGGGGGCCAGGATAGGGCATCTCGACACCTGCCGTCAGAGATGGTATGAGGAGCCTCCCAGCTGTGCTGCCAGCCTGGTCCAGAGGCTGGAGCAGAGAAGGTGCTCTTCCGGGCAAAGGAGGGAGCTGGTCTGTTTGGTCTGTTGGAGGTCAGTGCTCAGCCTTGGGCCAATCACTGATCTCTCCGGCCTCAGCTCTTGATCATCAAAGGTCTCGGCCTCTTCCCCCAGGCGGTCGTCCGGAACTTCTGGGCTGTTATCATTCAACAGGAGGGGCGCTGGGCAGGAGACTGCACCTTTAAGCCCTGGTGCCCCCACCTGCCCGCAGCCTCATTTAATTCCTTCCCTATCTGGAGGACACTGCCCCTCCAAACCCTGGGGACTTAATAGACATCTGATCAGGCACAGGCCTGGTTGCGTGGGGCCTGAAGCGTGTACAATTTGAAGGGCCCTTAATAAGAAAACAGTAAAAAGGAACAAAAAACTAGGGATGGAAGTGAATACAGTTGACCCTTGAGCAGCATGGGGGTTAGGGATACTGACCTCCTGCAGAGTCAAAATTCTGCATATAACTTCTGACTCCCCCAAAACTTAGCTACAGCTGGTCCTTTATATTCTTGGATTTCATATCCATGGATCCAGTGTTTTTCTTTTTTTGTTTTTAATATGTTGGCAAACTTTTTTTTTTTAGAGCGAGAGGAAGGGAGGGAAAGAGAAACATTGATCAGTTGCCTCCTGGGATCAAACCCTCAGTCTGGTTATGTGCCCTGACCAGGAATCCAACCCACCGCCTTTTTGGTGTATGGGACGATGCTTCAACCAACTGAGCTGCCCAGCCAGGGCCAAACTGTTTCAATCTGTGACTAAAAATCCACAGGTGTGGAAGGCTGACTATTCTAATAGCTTACTGTTGACCAGAAGCCCAACTGACAACATAGTTGCTTAGTACATATTTTTTATTAATAAAGCAAAGCTAGAGAAAAGAAAATGTTATTAAGAAAAGCAAAAGGCCCGGCCAGCGTGGCTCAGTGGTTGAGCATCGACCTATGAACCAGGAGGTCACAGTTCAATTCCCGGTCAGGGCACATGCCTGGGTTGTGGGCTTGATCCCCAGTGTGGGGCATGCAGGAGGCAGCCAATCAATGATTCTCATCTTTTTTAAAATAAATTTTTACTGATTTCAGAGAGGAAGGGAGGAGAGAGAGAGGAATCGAGCCTAGGACCTTTCAGTCCGCAGACACTCTAACCACTGAGCCAAACCATCTGGGGCCATCATTGATGTTTCTGTCTTTCTCTCCCTCTCTCTTCCTCTCTCAGAAATCAATAAAAAAAAATATTAAAAAAAAATTTTTTTTAAGTAGTATCTCAGTTTGCACACCTGGCAATAGCAGCAACTTCAGAAAACAGCTGTGCGAAAGAAAAGCCTCACATGGGCAGAGGGTGGGGAGGTGGGGGAGGGTGGGGGAAGTAGAGGGGGAGTGTCTGTGATCTACGTGCAACTCCCAGCTCTGCTACCGCAAGCCACTCAATCACCTGTGTCTTTGTCAGTATGAGGGCACATGCCAGGTTGTGGGCTCGATCCCCAATGGGGGGTGTGCAGGAAGCAGCCAATCAATGATTCTCATCATTGATACTTCTGTCTCTCCCTCTCCTTCCTCTCTGAAATCAATAAAAATATATTTTAAAAAAAGAAAAGAAAAATAAGGGGAAATACGTTTACAGTATTTACTGAAAAAAATCCACATAGGCAGTAGACCTATGCAGTTCAAGCCCATGTTGTTCAAGAGTCAACATATTTAGAATGAAAAAGAAATCCCAGCAAATTATTAGAGGCTTAGAGATTTAATGTCCCTTTTAAATATATATATATTTATTGATTTCAGAGAGAGAGAGCGAGAGAAACATCAATGATGAGAGAGAACCATTGATTGGTTCCCCTACTGGGGACTCGGCCCACAACCCAAGCATGGGCCCTTGACCAGAATCGAACCCAGGACCCTTCAGTCCACAGGCTGACACTGTCCACTGAGCCAAACCAGCTAGGGCTATGTTCCTTTTGATAGAGCTCTCTGGGCACGTCACTGGAAATGTTTCCCTAGAAACACTTTAGCCGAAACCGGTTTGGCTCAGTGGATAGAGCGTCGGCCTGCGGACTGAGAGGTCCCGGGTTCGATTCCGGTCAAGGGCATGTACCTGGGTTGCGGGCATATCCCCAGTGGGAGATGTGCAGGAGGCAGCTGATCGATGTTTCTCTCTCATCGATGTTTCTAACTCTCTATCTCTCTCTCTTCCTCTAAAAAAATAATAAATAAAAAATATAAAAAAAAAAAAAAAAAATAAAAAAAAAAACTTTAAAAAAATGTTTTTTTCCTGATTTCAGAGAGGAAAGGGAGACAGAGATAGAAACATCAATGATAAAAGAGAATCATTGATTGGCTGCCTCCTGCACACTCCTACTGGGGATCGAGCCCGCAACTGGGGCTTGTGCCCTGACTGGGAATTGAACTGTGACCTCCTGGCTCATAGGTCAACGCTCAACCACTGAGCCACTCCCGCTGGGCTAGACATACTTCCTAGTTGCCACCTGGCCTCACTCCACTGGAAAACTAGGCCAGTGATTCTCAAAGTGTGGTCCCAACTGGCAGCATCAAGATAACTGCAAATTCTCGCCCCACTCCACCTGCTGAATCAGAAACCTGGTGGGGGGGCCCTTCAGGTGAACATCTCAGCCCCCCGCCCTCGGTGGTACGGAGGGGGTTCTGTTTTTCCCTGTTGAGTTGAAGTGTGGCATACACACAACGGGACAGCAGGCAGCCGGATGGACTTTTGCATAGTGAACCCTCATGCAGCCACCACCCTGGTGCAGGGGTTTCCATCACATGAGAGACACGCCTTGGAGACGCATAAAAACCCAAGGGAGGAGTTGGCAAGGGCACGCCAGTGGGGACCCTTCGCACACGGCCCTGAGCCCAGCACACACTGACTTGCACACAGGAAATGCCTGTCTCCTCCCACCAGCCCCTTCCCAAACGCAGGGCGACTCAGCATGCGCTTGGCCTGGCCCCTCCAGCTTCCCCACAAGGCTCAGCCCTACCCCCTGCCCTTCCCGGGCCCCACCTGGCTGTCCTTCCCCTCTCCCCCCACATAGCTGTTAGTGAGAAGTTCCCCCTCTCTGCCTCCTGCACCCTGACCACCTCCTCTTCTCAGCCCTAACAGGAAGGAGTCAGAATCCCCCAGCTGAACCTAGGACTAGAAACAGGTGCGAAGAGGTGACTCCACCCACAGTTTTGGGTGAAAGAGAACCTTCCGCATGGAGGTGGTCAGAAAGGAGGGCCCCGCGCATCCATGTGCTTGGGCTGATTAGCCAGATTCCCTTTCCTCTGGGCACGCGCAGCGTCGCTGGGACCCACTCACCCCGGCCAGGACCCCTGTACCGCACAGCCCCTGCGGCGGTACCTGCAGGGCCTGGCAAAGTGCGCGGACCCTGGAGTTGGAGCCCACAGACAGGGCAGCCACCAGCTGCGGACAAGGAGCCGGGAGGTGAGAACCCAGCTGTGCCCAGCTCAGCAGCTGCAGGGGCCGCCCCACACTGCCCTCACTTCCTCAGTGTGTGCGTGCGTGCATGCATATGTGTGCGTGTGTGTGTGTGTGTGTGTGTGTGTGTGTGTGTGTGTAGGGGGAGCACAAACCACTGAGGAAATGGGGAGTCAGCAGCTTCTGCCGGAAGGAGTGGGGGCTGCGGAGGGGAGAGAAGGGAAAGGAAGAAAAGGAGGAGCTTCCTGGCCGGGGAAGTCACCTAAGAGGCCTCCCGCTGAGCCCCGGGAAGCCCGCCGTGGGGCCCGGACGCCCCAGCTGGGAAACCGGCACGAGGAGAAGGGCCTCTGCCGCGCCATTGGGTTGTACACAGTCCTATGTGAGGCCCGTCCAGGAAACAGGCACAGAGCAGTGCAGTGACAGGCCAAGCCCACGCAGCAAAGGGCACGCGGGGAACCGAATCCAACCTGAGGCCCCGAAGCCTGTGTCCCTGCTCCAAGCTGGGACAGTGGCAGCGGCCATCGCTGGGCCGTGCCATCGAGGTGGGTCTCCTCCCCGCCTGCAAGCTGGCTTGTGATGACTCTTAGATAAGACAGTGCGCTCAGCACCCGCACCTGCCAGCTCCCTGCTTAGTCCCAGGAGAGAAAGAACAGACACCCCCACCCAGACCGGCCCAGGGCAGGGCCCAGGACACCCCATCCCGGCCCCACTCTTTGTGTGTCACTGACCCCTTCTCCGTGTCCAGGGAGGGCTCCCAGGAAGGAACGTTTGTCCAGAGCTTCAGCTTCCCGGGGCAGGACCGAGCCCTGGGAGCCCTTCTGCAGCCCTGTTTTCTCAAAACCCAACCTGCTGCTCTGCCCAGGCCTTGCTGGGCATCAGCTGTGCGGGGAAGCGGGAATCCGACCCCTGGCGCTGGGCCTGGTCTCCATGGCAGCCGCGGATTTATTACAGGGGCCTCCACCCAGCTTGGCGGACTTAGGACTCGAAGCCGGGAGGAAGGAAACCAAGAAAGCAGTCCTGGGAGCAGGGAGCTCAGGGGTGCAGCGGAGGCCCCGAGATGGTAAGCTAGGCTCTGTGTCACCTGCCGGGCTTGGGGGGAGGGGGGAGGGGGAGGTGGGGGGGAGTTCACGGAGCCCTCCTGACTGTTTCCTCTGTCTGCTGCAGGCCAAGTTTCTTTCCCAGGACCAAATTAATGGTAGGTTGGGTTTGCTCTTTAATTAGCAACTCACAGCGAAATATGGGTCTCATTAAGCAATTTGCTCTGCTCAGTTTGTGTTGGTGGGAAAAAGGTGTGTGTGTGTGGGGGGGGGGGATGTGGGCCCACCCACAGGCAAGAAGCGCTGCTGCCAGGAGGCCCTGCTGGGTGGAGGCGGGGTAGGCTCACAGGTGGAAAGGTTGGTGCTATGTCTGTCCGTGTGCTGGGTGGAGGTGGGGTAGGCTCACAGGTGGAAAGGTTGGTGCAATGTCTGTCCGTGTGCGTTACAAGGGGGGAGGGAGGGAGAGGGGCCGGAGAGAGAAACACAACTAACGGGCAGGGCGGAGAGCCCAACAAGAGGAGGGCTTTGTACTTGGCCGAGGCAGAGCAAAGAGCCCAGGTCTGCACTCCCACCCAGCACCCTTCTCTCTGGGCCTCAGTCTCCCCACCCATAAGGTGGGAGGTCGGCCTAGGTGGTCTCTGAGGTCCCTCTACCTGACATCAAGCCTGGTTTTGGGGTGTGGAGCACTGCATCCCCTGAGTCCGCAAGCAGGCTTCCGTTTCCACAAGGCCAAGGGACGAGCTGGGTTACACAGAGCTCAGGGCCCAGACCTAGCTCAGGGAGGCCCCGCATAGCTCAGGTTGGGTCTGCGGGCCCTGGGTGGGCTCGGGGTTAGCTGGGTAGGGATTCCAGAGTTCTGAGTGCCCAGAGCTTGGTCTAGAGCAGTGATGGCGAACCTTTTGAGCTCGGCATGTCAGCATTTTGAAAAACCCTAACTTAACTCTGGTGCCGTGTCACATATAGAAATTTTTTGATCTTTGCAACCATAGTAAAACAAAGACTTACATTTTTGATATTTATTTTATATACTTAAATGCCATTTAACAAAGAAAAATCAACCAAAAAAATGAGTTCGCGTGTCACCTCTGACACGCGTGTCATAGGTTCGCCATCACTGGTCTAGAAGGACGAGTGGGTGGGTAAATGGGTTGTAGGCTCCAGGTGGGCACCTCCCCATAGACCTCCTCACAGTCTCACCCCAAGAAGAGGGCCAGATCAAGGAGTTCTAAAACACAAGGTCCAGGGCAGGGCCTCTCATGCCCAGGTCTCAAGGCAAGACTGAGTGGAGTCTCGCTCAGCCTACGTCCCCCACCCACCTCTGGTTCTGAGGCTCGCTGACCCTCCCTCGGGGGCCTCTGAAGTTCCAGAAGGAAAGGCAAACTTCCCTTTGTATCCCAGTGTCTGACACCAAGAAAGTGGCCACTAATGTTTAATGAATGAATGACAGACGGGACAGAGGTAGCCTGCTGCAGTGGGAAGAACAGGAACCTTGGAGGCCTGGGCTCCTACCACCTCTGAGCCTCAGTTTTCTCATCTGTGAAGTGGGGATAATGACGCCACACCAGGCTGCTGTGAGCGACAGAGAGGATAATGTCAGTCATGCACCTGACACGGGGCCTGGTGCAGCCTGGGTGGCACCCAGACCTGTGCTGGGGCCAGCTTGCTCTAGTCAGCATGCGCTTTAGAAATTTTGTGAACTTTCTTTTTCTGTTGTTAAAATCAGCCATCTATCTATAATAATAAAAGCATAATATGCTAATTAGACCAGAGGTCCTTCCGGATGAAGCCAGGGCTGCGAGGGAAGCCTGGGTCCCGGGTGCCAGAGGGAAGCCGGTACTGGCAGCAGGGGGAAGGAAGGCCTACTCTTGCACAAATTTCGTGCATCGGGCCTCTAGTATATATATAAAAGCCTAAGCAACCATTAAGACTGAATGACCAAATAATGGGAACAACCAGTTGACCAGTCACTATGACGTGCACTGACCACCAGGGGGCAGACGCTCAAGGCAGGAGCTGCCCCCTGGTGGTCAGTGCGTTCCCACAGCCAACCTCCCATGGCCCCTCCCCCAGGCCCCGATCAGGGGCGGGGGGGGGGGGCCAGAAGGCCAACCTCCCAGGGTCCCTCCCCCTGGCCAGCCGGCCCCTAGATAGGCATCGATCGCCAGCCAGGCCCAGGGACCCTACCAGTGCACAGATTCATGCACTGGGCCTCTAGTTATTAAATCATGTAAGATCAAATAATGTTCCAACCCCTGCATTTGTGGAGGAAAAAAAAAAACACCTTAAAAGATGACCCTATTGCAATCAGTAGTGCTGAAGATTTGAAAGAGGTTTGAGTTTAATGAGTGTAATTTGTACAGGGTAAGAACCAGTTTAATAGTAGATCTCTCATCAGATTGAATAATAGCACATTCATTGGGAAGAGTTGCATCACTGGCATGCACCTCACTTGTCAAGTCAGAGTCCCCACCCCCACCCCCACCCCCCAGGCAGAGGCCCCACCGATGGCAGTCCCACCAGCAGTTCTGGAGTCAGAATCTCTGTGGGAGGGTCCAGGGCTGTTCCTCCAGAGCTGGGAGCTGGGGACAGAGAGGCAGGTGGGGCCCTGCTCCGCTGGGCTGTGAGACTGGGCAACAGACGCCTTAGCTCCTGAGGCCATTTCGTCTCCATAAGGGAGGAAGGGTTGGAAGAGAGCTGCCAGCGGGTTTAGTCAGAGCTGAGAAAACATCCTGGGCCCCTCCCCCCAAGTCTCTCGGAGCAGGGCCAGGGCTGGGGTCAGAGGGCAGCTTGAGAGTTGAGCCTGGAGGTGGGATCTGGAGTAGTGGACTCAGAAGTGCCCATAATTGTAATAATTGTCGCCCCATGTGAGAGCCACTGTGGCCAGGACTTCCCAGGGGGGCTTTCTGGTCGGCTCAGTAACCCAGGGGCATTGTTGGTCCACTTTCCCACATGAGTTGTCTTTGCAAAGGTCCCCAGGGTGTCTGGATGCCCTGCTGTGGGCTCCTTGTCTCCCTGGACTGGCCCTACAGGGCAGGACAGCTTCCCAGTGGTTTGAGTCAGGTGTGGGAGGGAGAAAAGGGGGAGCAGAGGAAGGGGAAGGGAGGGAAGAGAAAGGGGGTCGGAAAGGAGGGGAAGGGAGCAGGAGGAAGGAGAGAGGGAGGGGACAGAATTGCCAGATAAAATACAGGACACTCAGTTAAATTTAAGGCCAGAGAAACAACAAATACTTTTTTATTTATTTATTTTTAAGACACTCATATAGATATGTTTTTATTTATTTTAAAGAAAGAGGAAAGGAGAAGGATAGAGAGGTAGAAACATAGATGAGAAAGAACATCAATCAGCTGCCTCCTGCAGGCCCCCTACTGAGGATCGAGCCCACAACCCAGGCATGTGCCCTGACCAGGAATGGAACCAGTGACCTCTTGGTTTAAGGGTTGATGCTCAACCACTGAACCACACCAGCCAGGCAACATATACTTTTTTAGTATAAGTGTATCCCGTGCAAAAATTTGGTACGTACTTATACTAAAAATGTGTTCATTATTCATTGGAAGTTCAATTGAACTTGGCAGTCCTGTATTTTTACTTGTGATGGGAAGGGGGACAGAGGGAGTGGACACAGGGAGGGGGAGGGAAAAGAAAGGGGAGGAGGGAAGAGAGGGTGTGTGTGTGGAGAGGGGGGGGGGCGGTGAAGGAGTGCTCCTGACTCCCCCTCCTGGCTGTGCACAGAGTACAAGGAATGCTTCTCCCTGTATGACAAGCAGCAGCGGGGGAAGATAAAAGCCACGGACCTCATGGTGGTGATGAGGTGCCTGGGGGCCAGCCCGACACCAGGGGAGGTGCAGCGGCACCTGCAGACTCATAAGATAGGTGAGTGGGCTGGGCCGGGGCTGGGGAAGAAGTGGGCCAGGCTGGTGGGTGGGCCTGGAGCCCTGCAGCTGTGGTCCTCGGGAAGAGCCCACCGTGGGTACAGATGGTGGATGTGAGAACAGGTCAGAGGTCAGACATGCCGGCGGTAGCAGCGGTCTCCAGCCGGGAGCTGTGGAGGCATTTGGCCAGGTGTGCCGTGCATCACTCGGGTTCCTTGAACCCTCAGCTCACGGAGCGGCCTGGGACGAAAGCTTTCCGCCAAGGTTCCAAACTCCGCAGGAAGCGTAACAGTGACCCCCAAGTCACTTCCCCGGAACAGTTTTATTTCTGTGTCCATGTCATGTGCTCAGCACAACCCACCCATGGAGAAGGCGCTGTTTCACAGGCAAATACCAGGGTTCGGAGCCCTGGGGGCCTTGCCCACGTGCTCGGGCCAATGGTAGAAACAGAGTTGGAGCCAATTCTTCTGATTGCAGACCCACCTTCTATGCAGCACCGGGAGGAAGAAGGTGGACGGAAACCCGGCCAGAACATTGCCAAGGGGTTCTCTAGGCGCTGGGATTACGGATGATTTTCATTCCCTTTATTGTTGTGTCCTGTATTTTTTTACAAGGGGAGCATATAGGACTTTTATAACCAGATGCAAACAAGTTGGGTTTGTTATTTTTTAAGAAACAAGAGGGTGTCAGAGGCTGGGGTGGCTGTTTGCCTTGGTAGCTGGACACTCAGGAAGGAAAGACTGGCCCAGAGAAAGGGCGTGGCCTGGAAAGATCACTTGATCCGGAGCCACCTGAACCTGTTTCCTCATCTCTCAGGTGGGTCCCCACCACCTGCTGGGGTTGCCCCAAGGTCCCATCAGAGCGTGACTGCAGCAGCGCTGGGTGGCCAGGCTGGGCCAGGACGGCCTCTGGGGGCCGAGAGCCCAGTGACGGGCGCTCAGTGACTGCGGTCCGTTTCCACCGCCCGGGGGTGGCGTTTTCCTTTGGTTACTGTCTCCAAACAGGAAGCTGTGGTCAGGGGAAGTTCCAATTTCCTGCAGTTTTACCCCGGCCAGGCCAGGGCCCAGGCCCCCACACATGCTCAGAGGAGGGGCCTGGGCTGGGGAGCTGGGGTGGTTGCAGTGAGGGGAAAGGCAAGCAGCCAGCCCGGGGGGGACTGGGCTTGAGGCCCCGGTGGGGTCACCTGTCCATCTCTGTGGGTGTGCAGTGGTGGCTGCTGAAGGGGGTGGACATAGATGAATGCCCTCCAGTTCAGGGCACCAGAGCAGCACCCGGAAGGGAGCAGAGGAGGTGGGCTCCGTCCTGGTCCTGCCACTGCTCTGGGAGGCACTGCCCCCTCAGAACTCCCGTCTCCTTGGTGGGCACAATGGGCAGATGATACCCACAGGCCCCGAGGAATGTTGGGAGGAGTCACGGGGGCATATCCGAGGTGGGACCTCAGGAGAGGGCCTGTATCCTCCTCACCGCCACCACCGCCACCACCGCCACCACAGGGCTCTTCCTGGGTCCAGTGGCCCTGGAGCCGGCCAGGAGGGCTGGGGCCGGAGGCAGGTGGCGAGCCTTTTCCTCCCTGCTCCTAGACAGAAATGGAGAGCTGGATTTCTCCACTTTCCTGACCATTATGCACATGCAAATAAAACAAGAGGACCCAAAGAAGGAGATTCTCTTGGCCATGTTGATGGCGGACAAGGAGAAGAAAGGCTACATCATGGCATCGGAGCTGCGGTCAAAGCTCATGAAACTGGGGGAGAAGCTCACCCACAAGGAAGGTAACGGCCTGGTTCCCTCTTTCCCTGCAGCAGGAGAGGATTGGGAGTTGGGGGGAGGACACCAAAGCCCGATCCGTGGCACCAGGATGGTGCGGACACTGCATGTCATGCATGCCCCAGGCGGCTGCGACGAGATGGCAAGAAGGGTGAGCGCTGGCCTGGAGCCCAAGGAAGAGCTAGGGGACCTGGGGTAACGGGAGAAATCTAACAGGGCCAAGAGCTGGCCTGGGGAAACCGAGGTGAGAGCTACTTGGGCCTCACCCTGAATGGAAGCTTTCACTGTGGGTCTTTATTTAGAGCTATGACACCCCTGGGAACACTAGTGACCCTCGTACTGACAAAGACACAGGTGACTGAGTGGCTTGTGGTAGCAGAGCTGGGAGTTGCACGTAGGGCACAGACACTCCCCCCCCCCCCCCCCCCCCCCCCCTCCCCCCCCTCCCCCCCTCCCCCCCTCCCCCCCTCCCCCCCCTCTGCTCATCTCAGGCTTTTCTTTCGCACAGCTGTTTTCTGAAGTTGCTGCTCTTGCCAGGTGTCCAAACTCAGATGCTACTTTAAAACTTTTTTTTTAATATTTTTTTTATTGATTTTAGAGAGAGGAAGGGAGAGAGAGAGATAGAAACATCAATGATGGCCCCAGATGGTTTGGCTCAGTGGATTAGAGTGTCTGCGGACTGAAAGATCCTAGGTTCGATTCCTCTCTCTCTCTCCTTCTCCCTTCCTCTCTGAAATCAATAAAAATATATTTGAAAAAAGAGAGAGAGAGAGAGAGAGAGAGAGAGAGAGAGAGAGAGAGAGAAGGAAGGAAGGAAGGAAGGAAGGAAGGAAGAAAGAAGAAAGAAGAAGAAAGAAAGAAAGAAAGAAAGAAAGAAAGAAAGAAAGAAGAGAGAGAATCATTGATTGGCTGCCTCTTGCACACCCCACACTGGGGATCAAGCCCGCAACCCAGGCCTGTGCCCTGACTGGGAATTGAACTGTAACCTCCTGGTTCATAGGTTGATGCTCAACCACTGAGCCACGCTGGCCGGGCCTGAGATGCTGCTTTGTTCCCTCTCCTCAGGACGCCACCAGCTCTAACAGCTCTTCCTGAGGGGTGTCCGCGGGGGCCTTTGCTGGGACTGCTGGTCACAGGACCCCACGAGAGGCCTTTGGCTCGGACCTTCCAGCAGCCCAGCGTGCCTTCCTGCCTCAGAGCAGGACAAGGGGCCCGGGTCTTCTGGGAAAGCCCTTCGCATGTGGTTAAGGGCGACCCCAATGCTGGGCCATTTGCCAGTGCTCTTCCTGCCTGCCCGCTAGCCCCTGGGTCTGGCCACAGCTGCCATTTAGAGTCACCACCCAGAGTCCACACCAGCGGCTGGGGTTTCTGCTCATGCTGCTGGGACACAGTGGGCGGAGGAAATAGGCCTCAATAATGTGGGCCTTTGGTTAAATCACAACAAACTAGGAGGGTTGCAAGGTTGTGGTTGGAATTAGATTTGAATCCTGGCTCCTCCTCATCCTGGAGGACCTCAACAGGTTTCTTTCTTTTTTTAAAAAAAAAAAATGTTTTTATTGATTTTGGAGAGGAAGGGAGAGGGAGAGGGAGAGGGAGAGAGAGAGAGGGAAACATCAATGATGAGAGAGAATAATTGATCGCTGCCTCTGGCATGCCCCCCACTGGGGATCGAGCCTGCAATCCAGGCATGTGCCCTGACCAGGACTCGAACCATGATCTCTGGTTCATAGGTCAAACCTCAACCTCTGAACCACACTGGCCAGGCTCCCAACAGGTTTCTTAACCTCGCTCACCCTCCTCAGTTTCCTTGTTGGGAAATGAGGTTACAATAGACAATCCCTCAGGTCCTCCCAAGAGCTAACATTCTATAAAGCGGGCTGCTTAGATTTTATCTGCAGGCACAAAGGCTCAGCACACAGCATTTAAACATAGCGCTACAGAAGGCAGACTCCTTCAGGCTGGCGCTGTCCCAACCCGTCTTTCATTGTGGCTGTTCGAACGCGAGTGGGGGAAACATGGGCTCGCCCTCCCTCTCAGGCTCGGACTCGGCTCGGCCTTTTATGTCCAGGTGGAGTGTAGCAGAGTGGGCCAGCCGGGCCTTCACTCTTAGGGTTCACGATCTCTGTCTAAAGTAATACGCTGGGCCTCAAACGCGTACACGTTTCTCATTCGATTAACCAGTCAAGAAACATTTCAAAGAAAATGGCAATGTGCTCCCCACAAGCTGAGACCAATTTCCCTACCTTTGGCTGAGGGAGACAGGAAAAATGATACCAGTAGTAGGAATCTTTAACTCTGGGAGATTGAAAGAAAATCAATTATACCAAGAAGCATCCTGGAGCAGCTGAGGCTGTCAGGGAGGTCTCCTTTTTAAGGCCTGGGACAGGCTGGCGCCAGCATCCTGGTCCTTTCTGGGTTCACAGCGAATGGCATGCCACCCAGCAGGCAGCCCAGCACCTGGCTATCAGCTGTGGCCCCTTCTCTGGACAGGAGGATGCTCAGTGGCTGGCTCTGAGCTGGTGTTGGACCTGTCCGCTGGGATGGTTTGAACCATGAAGATAACTTAATGTGCTTCACATTCTAAAAACACTCGGCACCACGGGCGGCTCCGGCCGGAGCACAGTAATTACACCTTAGAGGGGGCTGCTAAGCAGAGAATCACAGGGTGTTTCCTAACTGTCCAGAATGACATGGCGGGATGTCTAGGGCTGAGGAAGCTGACACAGGGCAGTGAGACAGTTGGGTTAGTATTTTTACAAAGAGCCAATGGTAGATTGGCTCTGAGAGGCCTCTGTGGAGACATATAAGCTGAAATGGCCTTTTAAAAAAAATATGGAACGCTTCACGAATTTGCATGTCATCCTTGCACAGGGGCCGTGCTAATCTTCTCTGTATTGTTCCAATTTTAGTATATGTGCTGCCAAAGCGAGCACTGAAATGGTCCTTCTTGCCGAGATCTGGGACAAGCTAGTATGTTGAGCAAGGAATCCAGAACCAGAAGAAACAAGTAAATGAAGTGATATTTTTGGAGCAGCGTCATAGAGAGCAATGGCGGTTTTGTGCCCTTTCAGCTTTAGACACAGTTGAATTTATCTTCTCTCATGCTGTCCCTTTCCCCAAAACACACACTTTTAAAAAAAGAGGTGATGGTGGCAGACACCACTTGTCACCAAGTCCTCTCTTGGGGTGGGGCATGCCATCTTGGAAGGGAAGGCAGGCTGGCCAGGACAGGCCAAAGCCTGGGCCACGGTGGCCCAGGATGGAGCTGCCAAGGGGGCCTGATCAGCTGGGAAAACCTATGCCAAAGATTTCTGGAAATATAGGTACAAGAAATATAGGGCGTTTTCTTTCAAAACAAACAAAGAACATAAGGTGGCTCGGCTTCAGTGAAATCCGATGAACTGAGTTGTATCAGTGGTCTTCAAGTGGGAGGAGGCGGACGGAGTTTGTCCTGGTCTGTTCGCTGTCTGATTTCTGGGTCTATGTGAATAGTCAACTGGACACTCAGGGAAAACCTCCGGGGAGCCCCAACCCCCAAGAACTTTGTCCTGTAACATAGCAGTAAAGCTGAACTGAAAATTTAATGTGATTTATTGCAGTGGATGATCTCTTCAGAGAAGCAAATATTGAACCAAATGGCAAAGTGAAGTATGATGAATTTATCCAGAAGATCGCCATTCCTGTGCCGGACTACTGAATGGAGAGAATGCAAGAGAGCACCCCCTGGGCCTGAAAACCAGACAGATGAATTTTTACAAAGAAAAGCATTCCTTTCACTCCAGGGAGACAGCACAGCGGCATGACGCTCCCTGACTGTAGCAGAGGATAACGTATCAATGAAAATAAATGATTTTGGCCATGGTATTAGCACGTCCTTAATAAAAGATTTTTATTAATTTTAATAACTGCCATTAGTCTTGCCCTTTACAGCTTGGAAAGAGCCTCTGGTTTGGAGATGGGCCTGGGTTCCAGTCCTGACTCTGCCATTTCCCAGCTGTCTGACTTTGGGCCAATCATTTCACGGCTCAGAGCCTCAGGATCGTCTCTAACGTTAGATTCCTTTTTTTCCTTTTTAATATATTTTTATTGATTTCAGAGAGGAAAGAAGAGGGAGGGAGGGAGAGATAGAAACATCAATGATGAGCGAGAATCATTGATCGGCTGCCTCCTGCACATCCCCTACTGGGGATCAAGCCCACAACCCCGGGCATGTGCCCTGACCAGGAATTGAATCGTGACCTCCTGATTCATAGGTCGATGCTCAACCACTGAGTCACGCCAGCCAAGCAGATTCCTAGTTCTTACCTCGTGGAGCCTGCTGAGGATGGTCTGAGTTAATGACTTGAAAATGTCTTTGCAAACTGTAGAGCTCTGTGCCCTCCTGAGTTTCCATGGTAGTGCTTCTGCAAAGAAGGGCAATCACCCAAGAGGCTGCATTCTATATTTGGGTGCTGGAACCCTCTTCCACATTTCTAAGACAAAGCCAGTGCTAGCTGAGAAATAGCAACAAGCAGATCTAAAACAAACAAAAACTATGGCAACATTTCTTGCAGCACCACAGGGCCACTTACAAATTCTCATTCCCATCTCAACACAGTGACACCACTCACATTCATTCATAAACACAGCATACAGGATGGGAACAGGGTAAAACAAGGCAGCCTCAGGTAAACAGTGGGCAGAGGGATCTGACTTCACAGCCCGCACCAGAGGAAACCAATGTGACCCAGGCCTCGAAGAACTGGGAAAGCCCTTTCTTTTTTCTTTTAAATATATGTGCTGAAGATGTTTCTTTTTTAAAAATATATTTTTATTGATTTCAGAGAGGAAGGGAGAGGGAGATAGAAACATCAATGATGAGAATCATTGATTGGCTATCTCCCGCATGCCCCCTACTGGGGATCCAGTTCACAACCTGGGTATGTGCCCTTGACCGGAATCGAACCCAGGACCCTTCAGTTCATGGGCTGACGCTTTCCACCGAGCCAAACCAGCTATGGTGGAAAGCCCTTTCTGATGCTCCTGTCAGATGCCCAGCTCCCCCAGCCTGTGATCAGAGAGCTTCACGAGAATGGGGTGGATCTGCTCAAGTGGGTCAAACTGCTCATGGCTTCTAGCCATTTCCCATGACTAATGGAGAGTAATAGGGGATGAGCAGGCCGCGGCCATGACACAGCAAGAGCCCTGGGAAACAGTAGTAGGGGTACTGGTCCTGCCGGGTAAGTAGCTGTTTTGTAGCCAGGAGGTGCCGGCTGGTGCTGTGTGTGTGCTCACCAAATCTGTGGATCCATTGGTAGTGTCAGCCCTGCCCTAAAAAGGGTTGGAGTCACACACTGGCATGTTGGGGGGTGGAGGGGCAGAGTTCTAAGTACAGAGATTTTCGTCCTTGTATCAAAATTGGGCTCTCTGGGCTGTGTCTGTGTCTAATGGTGCTTAGTGGCTAAAGCAAAAGGAAACCAAACCGAGGGAGATACGTCTTTTAGGAGGCTATTCAAGACACAAACACAAGGGCCAGCCGCCAGGGAAACGGCAGGGGCCCAGTCAGTTTTAGTGCAATGACCTCACAACAGTGACTGCCAATGAGTAGACATTCCTAGAAGCTGTAGCGAAGGGCTCTGTGGAGGGCAGGCAATCAATGGCCCAGACACCCAAGTAGGTGAAGTGATTATCTAGCTGGGAGCGTAGGTTCACACTGTAGGAGCAGAGCCAGGTTTTGGGGGTTTCAGGTTGTATGATCTGGCAGCCTCCTTTAAGAATATAAAAAGAGACTCGGTAGCACTGCTCCCAGAGCCGGATGAGGCCCAGGTGCAGGAACTTCATTACCATCGTGGTAAGTCCCCGAGGGCTGGGTAGGTGCTGGCATGCCATAGAGAACTGCTTTATTTCGCTTTCAGCCAAGGATCAGGGGTCTCAGCCCACATCTCCCTTGAACTCATCACAGATGTTAAGAAGCAAATCCTGCACAGCCAATCCGGGATACCAAGGATCGGGCGTTAGACACCTTTGATTTAGATGGGACAGGGCAAGAAGGTTCTGGGCTATAAATGAGGGTACTTCACCTTAAAGCCTTTTTGTCTGATAAACGAAATGGCCCCAGTATGTGTTTTTTAATTTAAAGAGAAACATCAATCAGTTGCCTCCCCTACACACCCTTGACCAGGGATCCAAACCTCAACGTAGGCACCCTGGTATGTGCCCTGACCAGAATTTGGACCCACAACCTTTTGATGTACAGGATGACACTTCCATCAACTGAGCCACCCAGCCAGGGCCCAAGTATGGCTTTAAAGTAACTTTTAATCTGATTTGCCTAACAGGAACCTCTGAAGTATAGCTTCCCTGAAACACACTAAGTGGTGTGGAATGCTCCTTAGAACCTGGGCTCATCTCCACTGACCCAGTGCCCCTAATTAAGGGCATTCAGTGGCTGGGTCCTAAAGTCCTGTGAGGCCTCTACCTAAACCTCTATCCCAGAAACAGTTTTTACACCACCCCATGTCCAGGCTTTATGCTCATCCCTGGAATTTCAGTTGGTTTATCTAGCACCTAGTATTCTCTACAAAAAAGGCAACAGTGCTCTTAGCTCTCAAATCGCAGATTATTAAACAGGTTTAAAACTAAACAGATGCTGCGGTTCATTACAAAGCCAACCATATTTCAATAAGGGGAATGATGACTGTACATTCATTACTTACCTCAAAGCATGTTGCAAAGGAATTACTCGTCATGCTTTGAAATCTCTGGATGAAAGGTGCTTTGGAAGCACAAAGCATATGGCCTTTCTCTTAGAGATGTCCCTTTGCACACCCAGCAGTGTATTTTACAGAAGACAAATTAACTGAAGGCTTTTCTTTTATTACATCTAAAGAGCTCTACATAAACAGGTAACATTCAATAGGTAAACAATTTTTTTCCAATGCATGTAATAAATATCTTCACTTGGTACTTTTATACAAACTGACATTGGTTTACTATACATTTTTAAAAGCCATTTTACTGGTTTGGCATGCGGTATGGAAATTCTAAGAGAGAAAGTCTTAAGGCAATGAATCACAGATTTAAGTTTATGGAATTTATGATAACTTTTATATGTTTATATACATTTCCCCTTTGTTAATTAAACAATTAACAGCAGCACACTCTGGGACCACCAGCTATTCTCCCTCCCTCTTGCTGAAATCTAAGCTTTGTGGTTTTGTGTTGGTTTATTTTTAATTATAAAACAAAATTTAACATGTACTGATAAAACAAAACTCTTACTAAAATAACTTCAAATGTGCTCTAAAGTCCTGAAGATCTTGAAGTGTTTTATGTACTAACAACTGGAATTGTTTAAAAATGATGTTTAATAATTAGAAATTAAAATTGGGATATATTTTCATTCAGCTTCTAACATTTGACTCAAAGGAAAATCTGCCAAGGTATCCCATTTTTCAGAAGCTTGAGTGAATCTTTCCTAAGTTGCTAATGATACAGAATTGTGATAATGTCTAAATTAATATAGAAAAACTTAATGTTCAAAATAAATTAGTCAACCAAGTGTGGCATGGTTAAACTTCAGATTGCTTTAAAAAGTGTCCAATAATGCCCACAAAATAACTAAAAAGCCACTTCAACCCTGCTAGTCAAACAGCTATTTTACCAAATATGTGTGATACACACACATACAATACTACTATACAGAAACACAAACATATGCACACCTATTATGAAAGACCAAGGCAAGGGAGATGGTGACAACGTGCCTAAGGATTCTGAGAATCACTAATTCTCCATGTGTGGAGGAGTGAGTGGGCTAAGGAATAAAGAGGTGAAATGACTATATGCTTTAAAAAAACAAACTTAGAAGATGCAGTGCATGACTCTACTAATAATTACTACCGATCATGAAAATCTAATCTTGGCCATGAGACCAACAGAGTAAAAGCTACTACTAATACCAACATTTTGAAAAGTCAGCAACTGAAGGGAACAAACTCTTTAGAGTAGAATGAACTAAAATAGAGAGACAATGAATGGTTTCTCCTGTGGAGACATGACCAAAGCCACTAACTAGACAGACATTTACTTCTCCCTATCACCCACTCTTCCCGTGGGTTGGTTAAATGCAGGACACTAAGGGGAAGCCAACCCTCTCTAAAACTGGCTGAAGAAAGCCAAGGGATGGTTTCCAACTGGATCATTCAAAGAGTTTGTAATTCAGCATCATACACAAAGTTATTGATCAGAATTTTGAGACCACTAACACCAATGACAGAAAAAGAAAACAAAAACGTAGAAAACTATTTTCTTATGTAGTTGAATTAATAAGAAATGTCCCCTATTGCAATGTGAAATAAAAAGCAACTCCCCATAATTTAAGTAATTTGTACCCCAATCTGAATTTAGACCAATTATGATACTCGTAGATATTAGCCTAAGTTAATATGATAATGAGAGTTCTTAAAGTATTTACTCACCATAACACCAGATTCATTTTAAAACTTAACTACTTCCTGCTTTAGCCAACAATAAAATTTTTTTTATTGCAAATTGTTTAGTGACTAACTCAGCCATGTATGTGTGGAATACACATGCCTTGGGGAAGACTATATTTGTCACTCACACACACTTGTCTATAAATACATATATACACACACACATATACATATCAACATCAACTTGTTTTTCAAAATTCAAGTCAACAATTTAGTGGCAGAGAGATGCTGTAAGGAACATATTATTTTTAGATGCCACA